TGTCCATGTGCAGATGAACTGAGGAAATGCAGCTGGCCTGGCGTCCCCAGAGAGGTTCGGCCTGTGACGTGGAGACTTTTATCAGTGAGTGCTCATGCTGCATACCTGGGCTAGCGTTATTTGCATACGTCATATGGGGGGGGGCCCTGCAAGCATTATAACTGGATGCACTGGCAGTTGCCTGTGCTTCTGTTTAAATCCAGCAGGTTTTTCTCAACCCTGCTGTTTGAAATTCTTTAGCTGGAGAATAATTTCAGAGAGTAGCCAATCCAGTAGCACCTGAGAGACCCAACAAGATGGTCTCTAAGGTGCTGCTGGATTGGAACCTAGCTCTTTAGCTAGAGGAGCAACTGCAAAACATATCCTTTCTCATTGAGTTGTGGTCAGTTCCATAACGTAGCATTGGTTATATGCCTAGTTGAGATTCAGAAATAACAGTAGTGCAGTGTGCTAGTTATGCTTAGTAAAAGCCTGCAACTGTTATGTCACTGGATTCTGGAAGATGGCCCTTTACAAAAATTGAGGACGAATATGTGAACATCACATGTTTGGGCTCAGAAAAGCTTTTTCTAATTAGAAGTCTCTGCATGTTCATTAAGTTGCCAGATACAGTGCAAGGCAATCTCCTAATGCCTTTAAAAGTTTTGTGTGAAAACTTCAACAATGCAGTTTCTCCCACCGCAGCAGTTCTAGGTTGAAAGAAATTACATTCTCCCTACAGTTCTTAAAGGTCTTGGAGTTTCATTTCTTACCAAGTATCGCAGCCCTTATTAGAATACTTCTCCTGATGCTTACTGTCAGCTAGGTGGAATAGGTAAATGTTAATTACAACAAAAGGAAGGATGGATTTTGCCTTGACAAGTCCCTGTTCTGCTGTAGGGTTATCTCCCTGCCAACATGGAGCGGAGGAAACTGACATTGCAGCGCAAACGAGAGGAGTATTTTGGCTTTATTGAGCAGTATTATGACTCTAGAAATGAGGAACACCATCAAGATACATACCGGCAGGTACCCAGACACCTACTTCATACTGCCTGACCTCATCGCGTAGTATCCTGAAGGGCCTGGGGATTTCATGAGATGTGACTTCCTTAAGAGTAGCCCTCTAAATTTTCCCCATGAGCTCTGTCCACTATTGTGGTGAGCCTATATGCTACAATGTTATGGCACAGTGTGGGTTCAAAGTTTGTTGCCCCAAGTATGCCGATACAGCACTTGACCTGAACAGCAATTCTAAAGGGAAGTATTGCCCTGGTACTTGAAGTTACCATAAAGCTATTTTTCTAAAGGTCTCGTTTGGTGTAGTGGTTAAGTGTGCGGACTCTGATCTGGGAGAACCGGGTTTGATTCCCCACTCCTCCACTTGCACCTGCTGATGTGACCTTGGGTCAGTCACAAGCTCTGGCACAGCTGTCCTTGGAAAAGAGCAGTTTGTGTCAGAGCTCTCTCAGCCCCACCCACCTCACAGGGTGTCTGTTGTGGGGAGGGGAAGGGAAAGGAGGTTGTAAGCCGCTCTGAGACTCCAAGTGAAGGGCGGGGTATAAATACAATCTCCTCTTCTTCTTCTTCGTTCCCATGCCAGATGCTCCCCCTTGCTTTCTAAAGCAGGTTGACATGTACGTGCTGACCTCCATATTGAAATGTCTGCTGTCTTTCACTGAAGGGTCAGCAAGCAAGTACTGGGGTGGGAGTGGTTGGTGAATTAATCAACATGTCCTCTGTGTAAAGTGCTGCTCTGGTTTGGACCTCAGAAGTATTTCCCCCTCTTATGGTAATTGGGCAAATGAGCTCAATAATCCCTAATGTTTTATTATTTATTATTATGATTTGGTTTTTCCATCCCTTTCAGATCCATATAGACATTCCACGGACAAATCCCCTCATCCCTCTATTTCAGCAGCCGCTAGTTCAGGAGGTGAGAAAGTTTCTTTTTCTAGCTTTCCCTCATTGTACTTACTAGCCTAAGCTGGTGGTGGAAGATCACTTCCTGGAGGTGCCACCTATTGTCCTCTGTCAGTGGAAGAGGTTTCCTGGTAAGGGCTACTCCTCTCATTTCACTCTGAAGGTGAGCTTGTGCTGAGATCTTGTACAGCCCTTCTGTTTCTAAGGATGTAAAATATGAAATGTTTAAATGATCTCTGTTTAGCATTTATATGTTCCTGCAAATATTCAAGCAGCCAACTTAGAGCATCACCTGTTCCTGGCTGCTCGCTCCTCTTTACATGGGGAAGGACATATGGGAGGAATGTGCACCTTGCTCAGAGTGACTACAGCAGCACGCTGCAGTCTCATATTGAGCAAGCATGGGAACAGGGAAGGAGACACAGTGGAGTTCTTTCTTTGGACTGCTGTATGTCTGTATGCCCAGTTGCTTGCTTGCAACTGCTGCAAGGGCTGTGTGCCTTGGCATTGCCCTTGGCCATCCCTCCTTTGCAACTCTTTTGCAAGAGGCTGCTTGTGGATTTTGCTCTGTTTTCCCCGCATCTAGTCTGTTACTGAAGGTAAGACAAGTTTACGCAGATGTAAATCCTGTAACATCCATTGAATTTCCATGAGTGTTACATGAAGTATCCATTCGCATTCCTATCCATTCATGGAACAAGCGATATCTCCAGTTCTTACACCGTCAGCTTCAGTGCTGGTACAGAGTGCTCCCATTCGGACTCCCCTTGGCCCCATAATCATCATGGCTGCCTTGGTGGCCTGTCCTCACCATGGGGAATCAACATCTACCCATACCTAGGAGAAGGTTGCTTAATGCTCCCCCTCCAACCAGTAAAGGACCTAAGAAGTCCTCACAAATAGATGTTGTCTGCAAACTTTTGTGTTAGTAATTAACAAGTAGAGTTGTCTCATCCCGTTTCAAATCTGAACACATCTTTGCACCAATGTGTATCCCAGAACAGTATATTTCCCACCAACTACAGTAAGCAAGTTACAGGATGTCAGCCTGCAAATACACCATAAGACTATATTCAACCTGATGGCTCTTGCAAAAGTTTGGGACCCCACGATTGTTTACATTGACACAGGACGATTTTTCCATTTCCAGACAACACAGCCTAGCAGCAGTGGTTCCAAGTCCCAGTACCTTCAGAGATTCACTGCACTCTCTCTGTTAGGGGCTTCACATTGAGAACCTTCAAACAGGCAAGACTGCTCAGGGATCCAGCCCCAACTGAAATCACCATAGCTGTCAGCACAACTGGATGGGGTGCTCACTGCCTAATCCTCCTAGCCCAAGGAAAGTGGTCACTGACTGAATTCAATCATAGCATAAATAGTTTGGGGCTCAGGTTGATCAGACTACCCTTTCATGCCATGAAACTCCCAGTGGAGAGAAGACACTGACAACAACAAAGCAAAAGCGCGATCAGTCTCCAGGATAGGACAAAGTCACAGTCTTTCAAACAGGAATGCTTTCTGCTGTTGCTGCACTGGGGATAATCCCACACCACGGGCATCTCAGCCCAACAGTAGCAAACGCAACACCAAGGCCAACTGGCTGAGCCACTACACTGGGCCAAAAGGGGTTTTGGAGCCATTACTTGAGCTGCCAACACTAGACCTCTTTGCCTTTTTGTGAAGATCAAGCTTCTACAGGCACACTCAGTCATCCCTGATCCAAATGCTTGTTATATGCCTACCACCCTCCACTCCCCCTATATTGTGAGGGTCTTCAACAAGGTCAACTAAGAGAGGGCAGAATCAGTATTTATAGCTCTCTGTTGGCCAAGTGGTAGCCATGGCAGTTCAGCTTCCACAGACCCTTCTAAGAACATGCAGCATCTTCTTCCAGGACTCTAACAACAGCTCAACCCAGACTTGCTCTGTTTCTTTGCCTGTAGACTGAAAGGAGGTTGCTAGAAAGGAGGTATGAGGAAAGGCTGAAGGAGCTGGGTATGTTTAGCCTGGAGAGGAGACGACTGAGAGGTGATATGATAACCATCTTCAAGTTCTTGAAAGGCTGTCATATAGAGGATGGTATGGAGTTGTTTTCTGTTGCCCCAGAAGGTCAGACCAGAACCAACGGGTTGGAATTAAATCAAGAGTTTTTGGCTAAACATTAGGAAGAACTTCCTGAAAGTGAGAGTGGTTCTTCAGTGGAACGGGCTTGCTTGAGAGGTGGTGGGCTCTCCTTCTTTGGAGGTTTTTCAAACAGGCTAGATGGCCATCTGACAGCAATGCTGATTCTGTGAACTTATGCAGATCATGAGAGGGAGGGCAGGAAGAGCTGCATCAGTGCTTAGTTCTTGTGGCCCTTTCTTACACGCCCAGGGAGATGCTGATCGCCACTTTGGGGTCAGGAGCAATTGTTCTACAGGCCAGTTTGTCTGGGGATCTTGGAGGTTTTTCGTCATCTTCTGGGCGTGGAACAGTGGTCACTGGAAGTGTGGGGGAGGATTTATGATTTTCCTGCATTGTGCAGGGGGTTGGACTAGATGACCCTGGAGATCCCTTCCAATTCTATGATTCTAAAATGCTTCTGCTATTAAATACCAGTAGTTAACACATTAGTGGCCTCCAGAAGGCTCTCTTCAAATGGGCTCTATGAGGCAGCATGGAAGGCATTTACCAGGTATGCCCTTGCAATGTATGGATTTCTAAACAGCAAAAAGGGATTTCATCCAGATATTCTTAGAAGATAAGCAGTTACCCTCACTACCATCAAAAGACCAGGAAAGGACTCCTTCTCTCCATTCATCCTTATATCTGTGGGTTCCAGAATGATGCATCCTTCCTCAGCCCTCCTGTGGGTACACGTTTTTCCCACATGGGACGTAACAAGGTCCTCATGACCCTCTACAAAGATCCTCTGGAGTCCATCAAACAGATGCCCCCTCCAGATTCTCTTCTACAAAGCTGCTTTCCTGATCACTGTCACCTCAGTCAGAAGAGTACAAGAACTCAATACTTTCTCTATAAGAAAGGAGCTTGGCCTTTCCACAGAGACTCTGGGGATGAAGGTGGGGTTGGTTCACAATACCACTGTGAATTCCCTGTTTCATAGAAGCCAAAAGCTAGTACTCATTTCAGCCCTCATTCAACCACCCCCATGGGAGGTAGTGGCACAAATTGGACAGGAATAGAGGTTTTAAATATACACCAATTGCACAGTAGTATTATAATTCTTAGACACCTTCTTTGTTCCATTTTATACATACATACATACATTTTTGATTTCTATACCGCCCATTACCCCCAATGGGTCTCAGAGCGGTTTACATTGAACTACTTCTGTAGTTTGTTACCTGACTAGGGCCACAATTTTTCCGGGGAGGGGGAAGGAAGGTCTTTAGAACTATGATTGCTGGGTGGATAAAAGCCTGTGTTTTCCTGACATGAGAGACCCAGCATATCCTGATTCTTACCACCCATTCAACCAGGGGTACAGCAATCTTGGCAGTCATTTCCAGACATAGCCCCTTGGAGGTTTGTAGGGCAGCTACCAGGGTTACCACCTGCAGATTTGCCAGGCACTACAAGCTCGATGCTTATACCTCAGCCATTCAGCAGATGGGCACTTCAGTGAATTCTTCCCCCATATGCTCCTTGGGCATTTCCCACCCAGGATGACATCGCTTTTCTACATTCCTCTCAAGGACATTCTCCTCCACTGATGGAAAAATGAAACATTGGGCATACCATGAGGGTTTCTTTGCATTGGAGAGAATCCTTCTCTATGGGGATTGTGACCAGAATCTTACTGGGAAATGGAACCTGTTTGGGTACTGTAAGGATCATAAACAAAAGCGATAGATTACCTTATATATAGATGAGGCATTATCCTCTGTAGTTTTGTTTACTTCATATACTGCCTTTCCTG